GTGGAACCATTAGTTCTTATTTATACAAACAAAGAACCATGGCAATACTGTGGGAAGTCGGTGGGGATTGTATGTAGAAAAGAAAGCAATTCAATGAACGTGAGCGCCATCATCCAGCATTATTATGCGACTGATTGAAACGCAATCCAACAAAGCCTCAACATGTTCCCATACACATGCCAAGGTAACAAAGTAGATTTGGAGAGGGAATTCACACCCAAACAGATTGAGATATGCAAAGATGAAGCTTAATCATCCAGAAGAATCGAACATGATCAATTCATAGCCTCTCCCCTCTCTCCAGCTCAATCAACACCACAAAGAACCCAAGAATCACAACAGAGAATAAACCACCTTGAAACAAACTCAGAACCAAGCTTCCGCAAGCCTCTGGAGTCTGGACCCTTCCTCCTCCATGCAGCATCATCCTCCACACAGCCTGCTATGACGCACAACCCGCCGTACAATGCCCGACCCTAATCCTTGCAGACCACTAGCACCTTCCTCCTATGGTCTCAGCAACACCAGTGCATCTGAAACAACACTCAGATGCTTGACCCCTGGGCCATGGACCTCCTCGAATATGCAGCGCTAGCTTCAGGACGACAAAGGAACCTCCACCTTGGAGAAGAAGAAGAACAGCTGCCATATAACATATGGCAGTGCCTAACCCCACAACAGAGATATGGCGCCGACAGACCCAGCAGATGAAGCACCTGCTTCAGTGCTGCTCAGACCTTAGCAGGGACTGCCCAGCTACACCGCTGCTCCAGCAGCCTGGCAGTGCCAAGATCACTAAACAACAGCTCCACCAAATCGCGCTAACACTTCGGTCCTACTCTATCTACCCTTTTACACTAACGTACCGAACTGCACTCCCTAGGACCTAAGAGGCTAAGACCAACTAACAGTTCCAGGTCTATGGTTTTCCAACTAACAGTTATGGGTGTACATTTTCTGGGGCAAAGGTAGACCATAACAGTTCCAGGTCCAGGTGATAACGGTACCGGACTGGGGCAAAGGTAGACCAACTACTAACAGTTATGGGTGTATCTTTTCCGTAACAAGGGTACCAGTTTAAGGCAAAAGTAAAGCAGCAGTCCGTTGAGGCCTGAACGAGATTTCCAGGATAGATAATTAGAGCATGCATTCCATTGTCCCAGAAAAAAATATCCCATAGCACAACCTGCATAAAGAGCAAGAAATTGAGGAGGAGAAGGATCTGATGCAGTGGCTGCCACAATAATAGAATATTCTAAAGCACCTGCTACTGAAAGAATTAAAGAATCAAAGAATTTAAAATTTTGAATTTTCAGTAATTGTGCTACGGTCAAACGCAACGCTTCTGAGTGCTGACCAATTGCTACATACACACAATACAGCTTTTTGTTTGTCCCTCACCGAATCGCCCCCAAAACCCACCGGGGGTGGACACCCCGCAGGCTCCATTTCTGCAGCAGTTAAGGTTAAGAGAATTTGCAGAAAAGTCCCTGTCGTTCTAGACCTGTTCCAATTAACGGTTAGGACCCAAAACTCTGAAAAAAAATGCGAAATGGTTCCAGTTAATGACACAGCCTGCTGCAAAAAATTGCAATAACATTGCAGCATCGAAAACAGGCCGAAAAGAAGAATAGCGGGGCAGAGGAGGAAAAAAGAGGTTTGGGGACGACCGCACGAACGAGCAGTAGGAGGAGCACAGCCAGATGTTTCGCGGTTGGTGTACTACGTTTCCATAGCACATTGCCACCACGAGTCAACAGGCCGAAAAGGCGAAAGCCCACTCTTTTTTTTTTTTCGGGTGCTCACGGGATCTACCCCTACCTACCCCATCTTTCTGATTGCTTAACGTAACCTCCCAGCTGCCATCAGAACAATCTACGGTAGGTGGTTTGTGCCTTGCTGCCATGTCAAAAGCCCGAAATCCTCCCTCATCCATCTTGCCTCTTGTTCCACTTAGGAGCAGTGGAAAGATGCCACATGATACGGCGTCCGTTCTGTGCGACTCCTGCCCTCTGCATCCCGCCGCCCCGCCCCCCCGCCCCCCGCCCCTCAAGTGGATTGCGCCGTCCACTCGTACCTAGCTCGTACCTAGTACATACCTCTTCTGGTCAGGAAGAGGCAACTCCCGTGCCTGGCATCGGCACCCTACCCTCACGCCAACTGCATCTTCATGTCCCAAGATGGATGGCTCATAAGTGTGCATCTGTGTAACCTTCCTACAAATACAACGTACGGTCATTTCCGCTGCATCTGGACTGAAATGTGAGCAAAATACGGCCATAATGACCATACATTCCAATTGGGTGAAGACGGTAGACTGTTCAGCCCATTGCCGCTTTAATGAGGGGGAACTCTGAGGAAGCAAATCATCCAGTCGATAATTTCATATTGTATATCCAACCACGTTGACGATCAAATTTAAAACTCAGTATGCTCAGCTGTCAGATGTGCTGTGGACAAGAATGGACATTCATTCATCATGATTCTGGAAATATTGCACTTCCTGTCGCGTAGGTGAAATACACTCCTTCGATGGCCACCCAATGGGATGGAATCTCCACCATGATGGAAACAGCTGGCCAACAAAACCACCAAAATAAACCTGAACAACAACAACAACAACAACAACAACAACAACAACAACAACAACAACAACAACCACCACCACCACCACCAAAATAAACCTCAACAACAACAACAACAACAACAACAACAACAACAACAACAACAATGACGATGACGACAACAACGACACCGCATCAACAAACCCACCAAGTTTCATATCATGACTAAATCCTAATTTCAAGATAAGTATGGAGCTCTGTGGATTAGTACTAGCTTTATATCCAACACCTACAATTTCTAAAAAACAGAAATATTTGGTTTCCATAAGCTTCAAATGATTGTGGATGCTATCTATGAATTGCCCTCTTCTACTGGGCCTCATAAAGCATTGTGCAAAGTACGAAATTGGAAAAACACAAAATGGTTAGTGAAGGGCGAAGCTCAAAGTAAAACTGCACCACAACAACGACAAGAACGACGACACCTCATGCCAGCAACAACACCGGATTGAAGCTCAGTAAAGACATCAAAAGGTGCTACTGCCAGCTGGCCAGGTGTCGCGGGTCCAAGCAAGTCTTTCAGTGTGCTGCAGAAGCACAGATACTGACCTTCTACACGCATGCATCTGCGCATGCGATTCAACGAGAAGTAAGCTCTGTGAGAGAGGAGCTCATGCAACTTACCTCAGGACATTTGCAGCAAAGTTAGCCCGTGTCGGTTTGCAGTCTTTTGATGTACTATTATTATCAGTTTTGTAACTCGTTTCTCATACAACCGCCGAACGCGAGCCAACCATCCCATCCAACACAGGACCACGACAGGTGCAGGCTGTCGTTAACATCGCCCGATAGATGGTAGTCAATCACTGCTGCTCAGTTCCAGCCTTGCCCATCTTTCACTCTTCCCTGACAATTGTTTCATCCATGACAACTACAACATTACCACCTCCTTCAACCGCGCCCCTCCCCTCCACCCCCTCTCCTTAAACCATCTTTCACAGGTGCAAAAAAAAATCTAATTCGAAAATAATTTAAATAAAACCTTCAAGTAGAGCCCGTGCGCCTGCATCTGCAACCCCACCTGGAAACACACAATTCTGATCAATTATATCCTAGTAGGCTAGTACTATTGTGAGGATTGAACCCTCAAAAAGGGGCCTTGCCGTGATGTACATGTTCTGGGCTAAGGCCCCCAGCAAGCCTCGTGCCCGCCCTAAGTGAAGGCGGGCCAGCAAATCAACGAGAGCCCTTTGTTCAAACATTTCACGAACTGGGGTCCATACAGTTGCCGCATGCCAGTTGGTTGGAGTGCACCGAGTATCGGATATCTGCAAATGCAGAAATCCCAGGGCCCCAGAATTGGTTAGGCCCTGGGCACATAAACGTGAGGCCGACAATGCATGCTGGATATAGAGGCCGAAAATGCCAATGGGAAACCGGTCCACTATCTGAATCTGGCCGCAGGCCTTGACGAAAGAGGCGCAACTGCATCTCCTGGGCCCCAACCGCATTGGGCCTGGGTACAGGTACTGGGGCCCAGGCGCAGGCTCAAGGGAGGCCGCCCACACGCAACACTGGCATATAGGCAGGGAGGGCGAGTGGGCAGGGATCTTGGCCATTGCGAGCAAGGCCGGCACGGTGCTGCATTGCGAGTGTGCCTGCGCTGCGCTAGGCTGAGGGAGGGCAGGCTGGCGCTAAGCGGTAGAGCGCAGCCTGGGCGCAGGGCGCTGGCGGCCATAGCCGGGCTGCCTGTGGGCGCAGAGAAGGTGAAGGGCGAAGGTGGTTCTTCGGAGGTGAAGGGCGCTGTGTGGGATAACAAGGGAGAGTGAGGGTGAAGAGAGGGACATACCTGGTGGAGAGGAGGTCGGCATTGGTGTTGACATCATCACTCGCTGGTCGTCAAGTTGTCTGGTTGCTTCCGTGCTGTAGTTGAAGTGATAGGCTGTAGAGTAGGTAGGGCGCCTGGCGCCATTCAAGAGAGAGAGCTACATTGGGTTATGCTGTTGGTGTTGCCCGATTGGGCTTGGACATTGACTCACGATTCTTCTGTATCGTTCTCAAATGGATGGTTACTCGGTTCCATTGTACTATCTGCTCTTGCTTTGACTACTTGGACTTCAGTGTGATTTTGTAATCTGGATTTCTGTGCTTCGTCCACTTTCATGTTCCTTGCATTTTGGTATTGGAGCTGGTTCGATTCACCACTTACCTTGGTGCACTGGCGTTATACAGACTTGGTGCGTTGACGATTCTTCGCAGTTGGTTCTTGTGACGTCAGGCCAACATTAGGCGCACGACCTGGGTAGAGAGGTGTGTGCCGGAAGGCTATACGGCATGGGAAGCCGTGGTTACAGCGGAATGTACGATTGGTGATGAGAGCATGCTGATGTGGCATTTAGCTGAGGTGGCACTGCATTGCGTTGTGGGTGGTACCGAGGCTACGACCGGTCATCAAATGCACACCCAGCTCAATTGGTGAGAAATCTGTGGTTGGGGGCAGCTATCTCCAGGTACGTTGTTCCCTTACCTTATCTACCCTCTCAATCTCTTCTTACCGCGAGGAAGTGAGTCCAACTTGAGAGACGACAATCTTCCCGGAAGCATCTGGAAGGAGAAAGGGCGGTGCCTCTGAAGGGCCCTGGTCGAAGCACTTGGGTCACGGTCGCGATGCCAACCCAATGGGAGTAGGTCACGCATGGGATGGCTGCTTGTCCATTTCGGCACTTTGCTGCGCTATAGAAGTCGTGCCCGGTGTGCCAGCCCATAAGAGACGCTTACCAGACCGTCGATAAATACTTCTGGCTGGGGACTCGGTGTTGATACTGGCTGTGATCGTCGTCCTGTCTGCGACGTTAAATAATTCCTGAGGAGATGGTGGCTCTCCTTAAATCCCTCCTGATCAGCCAGATCAAACCGGGTAGTAAGGCTCGTTCCGTACGAGGGTAAATAAGAGTGGATGGGGCTGGCTTGCTCAGCAGACTTGGGGCACAGGGGTGGGCCGACATTACACACGAAGACACTGCTGCTCAAAGATGCTCTTCGGTATGTTGGATTGAGGGGAGGGTAGGTTCTAATAGGTGCTCAACTGTAAATACAACTATATCCACTGTTCATACATCTGCAACATATTTTAGTTTTATTGTTGATTAGTTGGTTTACAGACTGCTAACACCTCACAGACAGTTTTAGTTTAGGACTGTTGTATACTACCCTAGCCAGTTCTTTGCAAAAGTTCTGCAAGTGAACTAATCACGATACAACTAGATTATGTTGACAGTCTTTTGTGAATGCTGTAGGCTGCCACTTGATCGGTCAAGTAGGGGACCTGCCGGACACAATTATTTTTAGAAAATTAGGTGCCTGTCAGACATATGCTGTGGTAGGACTCCAGCARGGAGTTGTAGTGCAGATWGTGTTTGCCYAACTGATGAGCRGGTCAGACACCGAKGAGGGTGGAGTTGACGATGTGAGACTGACACGTTCGAGATCACTTAGGGTCCCGCACGTGTTTCAGACCTTACAACCGGGAGACGAAAGACGGCTTCGTGCCGAAAATAGAGCCCGTGCTCTCGCAGTAGCCAGGGAAACAGCACTAGCTGCAAGTCAGGCGTTGGCAGCAGCAAACGCAGCAGCTAGACAGCAGGCAGCAGCAGCCAGAGAAGCAGCAATGGCTAACGGCGCAGCCTCTGCTGCGTCCTCGTCTGGGACCCAGTTGGGAATGCCCGCTGGGCCCACAGGTACTTCCGGGGCAGTAAGTTCTGGTCAGTCCACAAGTCAAATGGCGGGCTCGCAGTTAAGCCCGTTGACCCCACGTGGCAGGGAGCTCCTAGAGCTCCAACAAGTCGAAAGGATCCGCGAGCGGTTAGAAAGGGAACTGAAGCAAGCAACCGATAGAGAAAAGGAGATCAAAAATAGAACAGCCAGGCTTGATACGTTAGAGGCAGACAAAGTTGCATTGGAGGGTTTGGATGAATCAGCCATGACTGACCAAATTAAAGTACTGAAGAACAGCGTACTGTCGCTGCATGCGCATGTGGACAGCAGACTGGACTTCATGCAGAACTCTTTGGACCAGATCTTGGACCTTTTTGCAAAGGCCAGGATTTAGGCCAGCAGCACAGTCGCCGTTGCCGTTAACGGCGATGTCAGGCCCCTTTCCGGTACAAGCTGGCACACAGCCAAGTGGTACGTCTGCAGCAGCTGCACAGACTGTTGCTTCTTCTTCTTCTGGTCCGGCGGCAGGTGCTACTCCACAGCCGCAACAAACTGTTCCACCACAGGGACAACAGCAAGGTCATTGGTACCCAAAGACCCCTTTGAAACTGCCCCTTGCCTTCTCCGGAGAGAAGAAGGACGAGGAACTCAACACTTGGTTGAGAACAGTTCCAGTGTGGATAAGGGCAAAGAGGACTTTGCAGGAGGAGGAGGTGATTACCGTTGCATCTTACCTTGAGGGTAAGGCAGCCAAATGGATGGATGGATTAGTAGCGAAGGCCGGGTACGGACGACGCATGGCGCACTGGGCTAAGACCCTAACGTTAGAAGAGTTCTTAGATATGGTAGAAGCTCGCTGGCATAATCCACAGCAGGCACAAATTGCCACTGATGCGATGCTCAAACCAGTCAGAGAGCTAACATCTACCATAGAGAGCCTTATTGTCGTGCCAGGCATACGCTACGATGACCAGGTCTTATTGACCATGTTCGTGAGATGTCTGCCCGAGAATCTCAGGAACTTGCTAACCAGCGAGGCTCGCCTCGAGTATCATTCGTTTGAGACCTTATCTAGAAAAGCCTTAGACTTAGAGGCTACTCTAGGAAGTGCTCAACCTACTCAGGTAGACACGAGGAAAACGAAGAGTCCACAGGAGTGGAAGAAGAAGGGGAGTCAATTGATGATGGTTGAGTCTGATGGGACTCAAACCGAGATCGAGGAGCTTTCAGACCTGTTGGACAGTACAGAGTACGACGGTGAGGAAACCGCTGAGGGTAGCACCCTCGCCGCCGTTGTTAAGACTAAGGCAGGTAGCCGAGGGAAGGGTCATCAAAAGAGTCAAGGGTAGGCCGCCTCCAACCAGACCAAAGTTGCTGATTGGGTCAAGGCAGTCTTGATCAGGAAGTGTGGCGGGACCGTCGAGTGCGTGGTGCTTGCATTAACTGTGGTGAATACGGACACACCCAGTACGAGTGCAAGAACGCAAAGGTCACACAGAAGATACCTCCTAAGGTTGGGGTACGTTCTTCCCAGGCTTCAAGCTCGGGAAACATGTGAGGCCGGTGGAAGTTTTAGCTGCTTCTACTCATGGTGAAGTGGGTCAGATACCCTCCCCACTTCATGAGCAGGCCATAGCTAATGACTCTTTAGTCACCCTGCAGACTCATCCAGACCAAACTATACTTTGTACGTTGGATGTGTCTGATGCCTTAGAAGATTCAAGCAAGGACCCTCACGAATCTTGGGTGGCACTAAGAAAAGGTCCTAGAGGGGAACATTTCGTTGTGGAAGTTGCTGTAGGACACCGCAAATGTGGTGCCTTCATAGACATCGGCTCCACACGGAATTACATAAGTCGCGACTGCTTGGAAAGGTTGCACCTACAGGACCGGGTACAACACCTTAGTAGACCGGTAGCATCTACTTTGGCCAATAAGGAGCGCATGGTTGTCACAGACTATATCAAGGATTAGTCTGTACTTTCTCCTATGGAGGAGGGGAACTTGATCATAAGATTTCGTTCCTGGTTAGCAACGACTTACCATTTTACATGTTGTTAGGAATGTACTACCTTGAGGTTGCCAAACCCCAGTTTGACTGGGACAAGAAGGTGCTAAAGCAGAAGTTGCCTGATGGAAGAACAGTGAGACTGACTGAGTTCAAAGCCAGTAGTATAATCGATACCTATGGCTGCTTGTGTGCATCAGCGTTCTATAACTACTATAAACAGAACCAAAAGGAGGGTATGTACCTAGTGTATGTCTCTGAGAAAGGGGAGGCCGTTAAAACACCCCCAGAGATAGAATACGTCATTGCTAAGTTCCCTGATCTGTTCACAGAGCCCACAGGAGTCGTCGATAGGGAGGTTGTCCACGCCATAGAAATCATTCCAGGGAGTAAAACCCCTAAGGGAAGGATCCATAGGATGGCTCCGGCCGAGTTGGATGAACTTCGGCGACAACTGAAAGAGCTAACAGAAAAAGGATGGATCCGGCCGAGTACTTCCCCCTTCGGATCTCCAGTGCTATTTGTACCGAAGAAGGGGGGTACATTGAGGATGTGCATTGATTACAGAGGCCTCAATGCCATCACAGTGAAAAACGCAGAGCCTCTACCTCGCATAGACAACCTATTGGATAGGGTGCAGGGATGTAAGTACTATAGCAAGATAGACTTAAAGTCCGGCTACCATCAGATAGCAATAAGACATGAGGATCAACACAAGACTGCTTTTCAGACCAGATACGGTCTGTATGAGTTTGTAGTGATGCCCTTTGGCCTTCGCAATGCGCCGGGTACATTCCAGCATGCCATGAATAGGATCTTTCATGACCACTTAGATAAGTTCGTCGTTGTCTACCTTGACGATATTCTTATCTTTAGTAAGTCTGTCGAGGAGCATGCACAGCACGTTGAGACTGTACTTTCTCTCTTGCGACAGCACAAGTATAAGGTCAACCTAGAGAAATGTGAGTTTGGACGCACTAAGATCTTATACTTGGGTCATGAAGTATCCGCGGAAGGTATTAGGCCGAAAGATGCGAAGGTGGCTAGTATAAGGGACTGGCCACGACCTCAGACTGTTACTGAGGTCAGATCTTTCTTAGGAATGTGCGGATACTATAGAAACTTTGTGAAGAACTATTCTACAGTCGCCTCTCCTTTGACTGATCTACCTCGACTTGACACGCCGTGGGACTGGAGTGATGAGTGCGAGGCTGCTTTCAAACGATTGAAACATGCACTCATGAATCATGAGGTTCTCATGGTGCCCGCTCCTCAGAAGCCATTCATTGTAACCACTGACGCAAGCCAATACGACATTGGCGCAGTGCTGGCTCAGCAGGATGGGAAGAAGTTGAGACCGATTGAGTACATGAGCAAAAAGATGCCATCCAAGAAACTGGCAAAATCCACCTATGAAAGGGAACTCTATGCTCTCTACAAAGCACTTGTCCATTGGAAACACTTCCTGTTGGGACGGTTTTTCTACTTGAGAACTGACCATCAGACCCTCAAATGGATCAAGACTCAACCGACTCTTTTTGATGCACTCAAGCGTTGGATTGAGGTCATAGATGAATATGACCTCAAGCTAGAGTATCTGAAGGGAGACTACAACAAGGTTGCAGATGCGCTGTCCCGTAGAGCAGACTACCTAGGGGCGCTAGTTTCTAAATTCGGTGAATCTGAGGAACTAACTCAATCGCTGGTGGGAGCCTATCAGGAAGACCCTGTCACGATGGACATCATACGCAAACTTCAGGCAAAAGACAAGGCCACAGAGGATGAGTTTGTGATGGTGGACGGGATTCTCTTTCTTGATAAGGCCGGATTTAAAAGGCTAGTTGTTCCATCTAGTGAATGTTTGCGTAGTTTATTCTTAGGAGAATGTCATGACGCAACCGGACACTTTGGCAACAAAAAGACGAGTGCCAATCTAGTACAGCGATTTTGGTGGCCCGGAATCCTAGAAGATGCAAAGAAGTATGTTGAGACCTGTCAGGTCTGTCAGCGGGACAAGCCGCGAACTCGAGCACCGCTTGGGTTGCTGAAGCCCTTACCTATCCCCGCTGAGACCAGTATGTTGAGTGTTTCCATGGATTTCATGGACACCGTGGTGACCAGTAGGAATGGCAAGAGGCACATCTTTGTCATCAAAGACCGCAAGGACTGAACACGTCATCGAGTTGTTTTTGGACAACTGGGTGCGTGATTTTGGATTACCAAAGTCAATCGTTAGTGACAAATATGTCCGTTTCACAAGTGAGCTGTGGAAGAAGACTGCTGAACAGATGGGCAGTCAACTTCAGATGACTTCAGGGAATCATTCCGAAGCAAACGGGCAGGTCGAGCAGATGAACAAAGTTGTACAACACTTGCTGAGGCATTACATCAAGCCCAGCCAGGATGACTGGGATGAGAAATCGCCTCTCATCGCCAGCCTGTACAACAATGCTGTACACAGCAGTACACAGCAATACCGGCGTCAGTCCTAACCAGCTACACTTGGGATGGAAACCTAGATCAGCACTAGACTTCCTCCTGCCTGAAAACCGATCCTCTGCAACTCCAGGCACACTTGAGTACGGTGTGCAGTATGAGAAGTTGCTACAGCAAGCTGTCGAGCATATCAAGAAATCTCAGCAAGCAATGATTGCTTCTGAGAACAAACATCGTCGGCAGTCCTCATTTCAGGTAGGGGAACGGGTCTCGGTCAAGGCTAGTGAGCTAGGACAAGAATTCGGAATCTCTCGTAAACTAGTGCATCAGTATTTTGGTCCCTGGGAAGTCCTGGATATAGTTGGGGATGAGATGGATGGTCCTACCTATGTTATCCGCATCCCTGGTCACTTACGCACTCACCCTGTCTTTCATGCCTCAAAGCTTGCACCTTTCGCTGAGACAGATCAATTCCCTWMAAGGAGATCRATGCTGCCCCCAACCATGGATGGCCAAGTGGACATCGACGACATTGTGGATCACAGAGACCTGCCTGTTCCAAAGCCACTGGGTAGAGGAAGACCTCCCAARCCCAAGAGAGAATATYGCGTCAGATTCAGGCATCATACGGATCCAAAAGAAGATCGGTGGTTTACCAGAGAGGAACTGATTGACACAGCTCCTCAAGTGGTGGCAGAATATGAGAGGATGTTAAAAGGGAAGGCACCTGCGAAGTAAGCATCTCGGCGGACTTTCGAAGCTAAGGGGGATGGAATGTGAGGATTGAGCCCTCAAAAAGGGGCCTTGCCGTGATGTACATGTTTTGGGCTAAGGCCCCCAGCAAGCCTCGAGCCCGCCCTAAGTGAAGGCGGGCCAGCAAATCAACGAGAGCCCTTTGTTCAAACATTTCACGAAGTGGGGTGCATACAGTTGCCGCACGCCAATTGGTTGGAGTGCACCGAGTATCGGATATCTGCAAATGCAGAAATCCCAGGGCCCCAGAATTGGTTAGGCCCTGGGCACATAAACATGAGGCCGACAATGCATGCTGGATATCGAGGCCGAAAATGCCAATGGGAAACCGGTCCACTATCTGGATCTGGCCGCAGGCCTTGTTGAAAGAGGCGCAACTGCATCTCCTGGGCCCCAACCGCATTGGGCCTGGGTACAGGTACTGGGGCCCAGGCGCAGGCTCAAGGGAGGCCGCCCACACGCAACACTGGCATATAGGCAGGGAGGGCGAGKGGGCARGGATCTTGGCCATTGCGAGCAAGGCCGGCACGSTGCTGCATTGCGASTGTGYCTGCGCTGCRCTAGGCTGAGKGAGGGCAGGCTGGCGCTAAGCGGTAGAGCGCAGCCTGGGCGCAGGGCGCTGGCGGCCATAGCCGGGCTGCCTGTGGGCGCAGAGAAGGTGAAGGGCGAAGGTGGTTCTTCGGAGGTGAAGGGCGCTGTGTGGGATAACAAGGGAGAGTGAGGGTGAAGAGAGGGACATACCTGGTGGAGAGGAGGTCGGCATTGGTGTTGACATCATCACTCGCTGGTCGTCAAGTTGTCTGGTTGCTTCCGTGCTGTAGTTGAAGTGATAGGCTGTAGAGTAGGTAGGGCGCCTGGCGCCATTCAAGAGAGAGAGCTACATTGGGTTATGCTGTTGGTGTTGCCCGATTGGGCTTGGACAKTGACTCACGATTCTTCTGTATCGTTCTCAAATGGATGGTTACTCGGTTCCATTGTACTATCTGCTCTTGCTTTGACTACTTGGACTTCAGTGTGATTTTGTAATCTGGATTTCTGTGCTTCGTCCACATTCATGTTCCTTGCACTATAATAACAAGTGGACCCCGCCATGGCCACGCCGTGACGCACAGCAACACTCGCTGATGGCGTCTTATTTTTGTTTCATGTCTCTCTCTCTCTCTCTCTCTCTCTCTCTCTCTCTCTCTCTCTCTCTCTCTCTGTGTCTCTTTTTGTTTCTTCCCGTGTTGTGCTT